GAGACCCGGAAATTAAACCGTGTGCACCTAACCAACTTTTCTAAAGCGGCAAGTGCGACAAATATGCTTAATTAATTTGTCGATTTCCCTCCTTGACCATAACAGGTATGAAGTAAGCCATAACCTACGTCTCTCAACTCTCAAAGACATCCTTTCTTATAATATATAATTTGATTAATTTTGAATTTATTTTTTTAGAACTGCAGTGGAAGATTATTTTAATTAATTGAAATTGTTATGTACTTAAACAAATGAATTTTATATGCTTTAGATAGTTCGTGATTCATGTCGTTTAAATCAATGTTTGACCCTTATATTGAATGTGTTGAAAAGTAAATTCTCTTAATTATTTTTGTATCTTAAATCTTGTTAACTTAAGTGTTATTTTTAAGTTTGTCTTAAATCTTGTTAGATTAAATGGTATTTTCAGCTAAATAAATTCACTATAGTGAGGTTGAAATTCTTGCCAAAATTGCTCTACCAATTTCTGTTCCAAAGCCACCTTTTTCCGTATAAAGACTCTAAACTCTTTATTTGTAAGTTTTTTCCTTTTTTTTTTTTAATTTTTTATGGTAAGTAATACAATCACACAAAGTTTAAAGGTTTTGGACCTACAAATACCTCTAAGATCTTTTACCATTTTTTGTTTCACTTCCAGTGGTGGATCATTAAAAAAATGCTAACTTTGTCTTAGTGGTAAAATTTTGAAGTCATAACATTCATACAATGGTTAACTTCACATAACGCATGACGAATCTCACCATGCCAATTTCTCTGAAGTTTCATGGCATTTTGTTATTAAGCTTCTATGTGGATCATGCCGAGTTGCGTTGTGACTGATCACCTTGTGTACAGCTAATAGGGGATAGGACTCCACAATAACGCTTCTAATTTGCCTTTGCCTTTGCCATGCCAATTCCAAAGCTGTAAGGATAGCAACGATTTCAGAATGGATTGCACGGTTTCTGCCCAACTGTAAGTTTTTTGGTATACTGGAAAAAGTTAAAAATTACAGGAAAAATAGAGAGAAATTTTTTTTTTTTTTTAATGAAACAGATCAACTAATTGAAACTTTTATGGGGAGAGGAGTGAGAAGAGAAAATAAAGGTTTGTACTCTGATTATCAATAATTTAATCAATTATTTTATAAACTCTCTTAGAGAGAGACATGTTAAATCCTAAGAGTATTAGATTTTTTGTTTTAATTGTAAATAAGGGTAAAAATGAGAAGATAAGTTCTAATTATTGTAATAAATAAAATTTTTTTTCCATCTACTCTAAAATAATATTTTTTTTAACTTTTTTCTTAAATTAAGGATTTGAGAACAATATTTTTATTTATCTATAATACTGTTGAAAAAAAATAAAATATAAAGATAGACTTTTTGTAATTGAAGTATTAATTAAAGTGAATAAATAATGATAGAATTAAAGTAAGATAAAAACATATTTGTCTATCTTAATCAATAAAAAAATAACAATTACTTTAAGATAAATTTAAAATATAATAAAAAACAACAATTTTTCTTAAATTAAGGATTTGAGAACAATATTTTTATTTATCTATAATACTGTTGAAAAGAAATAAAATATAAAGATAGACTTTTTGTA